TTTTTTTTTTGTTGAGACAGAGTCCCACCCTGTGCCCCTGAGCAGAGTGCAGCGGCTTGGTAGTTCACTGCAACCTCCGACTCCTGGCTTGTGGGCATCCTGCTGCCTCAGCCTCCGGAAGCCGCTGGGATCACAGGTGCTCGCCGCGGCGCCTGGCTGGGTTTTTCCATTTTTTTTTTTCATGAGTCGGGGTCTCACTTTCGCTCAGGCAAGTCTCAAACTCCTGAGCTCCAGCGATTCTCCCTCCTCAGCCTCCCACAGTGCTGGGATTACAGGCGTGAGCCACCGCACCCGGCGAAAATTCTATTGCTTAAAAAAAAAAAAAAAGTATTCAAATGCAAACATTAGATAACCTAAATCTTTATACCCTCAATCAACCTGAAACAATATTTATTTATTTATTTTATTTATTTTTTATTTTTTGAGACAGAGCCTCAAGCTGTCCCCCTGGGTAGAGTGCCGTGGCATTACAGCTCACAGTCTCCTGCCTCCGCCTCCCAAGTAGCTGGGACCACAAGCACCCGCCACAACGCCCGGCTATTTTTTGGTTGCAGCCGTCATTGTTGTTTGGCAGGTCCAGGCTGGGGATTCGAACCCGCAACCTTAGGTGTAAGTGGCTGGCGCCTTAGCCAGTTGAGCTATAGGCGCCGAGCCAACAATATTTAAAAGTAAATAAATAAAATAAGTAAATAAGTAAAAATTTTTTTTTAAATGTTGATGGAGAGGCTCAGAAGCCACTGGCCTCCCATACTTTACAGATGAGAAATCTAACACAAGGGGACTAAAGCTATGGCTTTCTAAACTCAATTCACATTGTCTGCAAGTATATGTGTGTGGGGGTGTGTGTGTGTGTGTGTGAGAGAGAGAGAGAGAAAGAGACAGACAGACAGACTCATCCTACTGTACAGGCTAGAATCAAGCTAGCTCACAGCAATTCAAACTCCTGAGCTCAAGTGATCTTCCTGGCTCAGCCTCCCAAGTAGTTGGAATTATAGGCACTTGCCAGTAGTTTTTCTGTTTTTAGTAGAGATGGGGTCTTTTTTTTTTTTTCCCTGAGATAGAGTCTCACTATGTCACCCTCGATAGAGTGCTATGGTGTCATAGCTCACAGCAATGACGATCTCTTGGTCTTAAACAATTCTCTTGCCTCAGCCTCCCAAGTAGCTGGGCAGGCACCCACCCCAACACTGGGCTATTTTTTTGTTGCAGTTGTTTATCTGGCCTGGGCCATGTCCGAACCCGCCACCTTCAGTGTATGTGGCTGGCATCGTAACCACTGTGCTACAAGTGCCGAGCCAGGGGCCTTATTCTTGCTAAGGCTGGTCTTAAACTCCTGAGCTCAAGTGATCCTCCCACCTCAGCCTCCCAGAGTGCAAGGATTACAGGTATGAGCCACCACATGCAGCTTTTTATGTCATTCTTATGTTATTCTTCGATTTTTGATTGGAGAAGAGAATGAGTAAATATGTGAATTTATACACATGAGAATATATATTCATATACCTGATCAAATGACACAACTGGGATTCTGGGGAGAATTTGTAAGTCAAAAAAGCAAGTTTTAGTTTCAAATCATATCCTCACAGTCATTCAAGTTAAAATTACTAAATTATAATTAAAATTATAAAATTATAAAAAATTAAACACATAAACACTGTAAAAAGTGAAATTCAAGAATAAATTCATGAATATCATCTTCATTTACAAATTAAGATAGTAGTAGTACAAGTTTTATGACTATAATTTGAAAATTCCTTCTATTAGTTTTGTAAAAGTACTTGCAGAAAATCTATGATTCTGGTACGTCATTTTATTCCTCCTGAGGACAAACCTAATTTTAAAAATAGTAGGGAAAAATAAGAATCAGTATCATCCTGAGGACAGACTTTATCAATTGCATCTTGTTGAAATCAGAAAATTAACTGTACTATTTTAGAGATAAATTTTATACCTCGTTTTTTAGCCTCGGCCACCATTTCATCATATTCTTGTCGGTGACGTAAAGCTTCTTCCATAGATTTGGCAGGAAGATTTCTGGAAAAAAAACAAGTCAAGACAACGTTTAATAGATTTAACTTTTTTTTTTTTTT